GCACATTATAACGCCCCCACGGCTGAAAGGGCGAGCATGTTTGGTGTGACGGGGATTTCGAGTCGAAAGCTCTAACCACCTGGCCATGCTGGGCAAGAAATTTGGAGAAGTATTACACTAGGACTACCTAGTCGACAAACGATCAATTTTTACTTGTAGCAGCAAGTGTTCTATGAGTTCTAGAATTAGAGTATTGAGATAACTAGTTTTCCAGTACATTCCATTTTTTCCTCAAGTTTATAAGAAGAAAAAAAAACGATTAACACTAATCACTAATAACACGGATTCAGTCCATCAAGCGCGAATTAAAACGACACTATTTCAAAAGGTTTAATCATAAAATAAATCAACAAAATTCATGACTTTAAATATTAATTTCCTAGAGAGTCCATAAATTGCGGAATACACCATGCAAATGCATGGTTTCAAACTATCCAATCACAGATTAGACCATGAAGGTACATAGTTTTGATCCAAATAATTACTGTAAAACAAAAAATATATAAATATTTCCTGTTGTTGGTGTCGATAAAATGCACGAAACTTCAATTGTACTATAACTTTTCAAATGAATATATAGCCAGCAAAAATCTCAAAATTCACTTCCTAGATGAAGTTCACCTAGAAATGATTATACGAAATCAGATACGAAGAATTCCTTAAAAAGTATATCCAATTTTAACATTCCAATTTTGAATCGTTTCCATCTAATATTATTAGATAATTCAGCTCGGGGTATCAAAACTACATGACAAACATTGACGTAAACCCAGTTCAGCCAGTGCTTAGTTCTTGTTCTGGTTTCTCTACCGCTACACCATCATTTAGAATCTTTGAGGATTACGCTGCAAACTGTCATTTCTTTAAGTCAGCTTATAAACTCAAAGAGAAATGCAACATTTATGATGTATATCTTTTTTTAAAATTGCTTTCATGAGACAAACTATACAGAATCATCCTTCCTTATATACAGTATTTCATCGTTTATATTTAATCGTTATTAGCGAAATTTTGTACATAGGCTTGGTCTAAAAGAAATAGGTTTGAGCTTCCACATGACGGTTGCTGATTATTTAAATAACACTTTTGACGGTAAGTCTCGTATAAAATATTATTGTTGAATCACTCGGTTAATTAACCGTTCCATAGTGACATCTTCTATCATGGCTTGGAGCAATGATACTTACTGAAACACTATTCTTTTGTCGAAAGAAGCTTATGCAATGTTACCTGAAGGCTACAATATCAACATGAAAAGACTATAGTGGGGTTAGTTGTTAGTTAACTGTAATGTTGCCTGTTCACTGATATCGTATCCGTGAAGTTAATGTAGCGATGTTTCTCTCTCACGTTCAGAGTTGCAGTACCATTCACTTAACTTCGGGACATCTCAAATGTCTTTAAAACTTGACTGTGTTGTGAAAGGTGGATTCATGCATCATTCTTGTAGCTTAGTTTGAATCGTGTCTAGTGTAAGCTACAAAAAAGTATCTTTCTGACAGGACAGAGGTCAGCCATGGGGTAAAAAACAGCAGCAACAACAACAAAAAAAACATGCACCGCAAGATGTTGCATTACTTATAATTTGTATGTTAGTCATTAGTTAAAATAACTAGTGACCAGATAATAACCGACCATACTTGGTGCCTCAGTGATTAATTATCAGAACAAACGGTTTCAACATATCTCAAATTTAAATTTGCTTGTTTTTCACACGACTTTATTTCCCTTCTATTGGGGGTTATTCGTTATCGCAAAGCTACATAATTGGTATCTGCGATTTGTCCATCACGGTAAATCATATCTATTACCCTAACCTACTAGGTGATTATTATTATTGGAGTAAAAATTGTACTAAAGTTTTACATTACATTTTGACAATTGATGAGTTGTGAAGAAATATTTGTAGTTCACGTGTCTCTTACAGATAAACCCTTTAACAAAATGTTAACATTGTTTTAACGCAAGGAACTTCTCTGGATCAGTGCAGATAAAACATTTTGATAAATAGCTTAAACTCGTGGTCACCTACCTCTAAGCCGTCGTAGGTCCATGATCCAAACTTCATTAAGCAGGATTGTTCATCGAAAGGGAAGTACTCAACATCAATCTCACAAGTGCTTTTGTACATGGCCGGTGGTTTCCATACTATCTCACCAGTGTGATAGACAGTGGCCTTAGTCATCAGGGTCACTTCATAGTTACCGTCATAGCTAAGATGGCAATAGAGAAGTCGTGAAAAAAGTTTTTTTTACTTACGTTTTTTTTGTACATATCTCTTCCACGTTTTAAATTCTGCATATCAATTTTATCGTAATACATCTAGAATTGATTTAATTCTGTTTTTTTCCAGCTGTTTACTTAACGTTAAATCATATTCTAAATTACACAACAAAGTATAACAAATGTTAAAAGAGGAGATTGATACCAAAGATGAACGCTTGTAAATGTTTTAGAGGATAACACTTGTCTGTTTTTTGATACATTAAAATAAAATAGGTTTGTTAGTTTTTGGTTTAAAGTCCGATACTCACCACTAATAACCTAAAACACTTTTAGGTGTTTGGATAATGAGACATGCCTTCACAATTAATTATCCGTTATTGTTCAGAGGACTAACTGGTTATTTATTTATTGGTAAATTTATTTTCCTCACTAAAACGTGAATTTCAGTGAAGAAAAGATAACATAGAGGCCTAATATATTTTTCATTCTCTGTAGCAGACTAGTTTCCTTCAATTCACATCTCATCAGTTCTGCTTGGAAGAGCGAAGGAAGTAAACAAAGTAGGCCTCATATTATGGTAGGATGCAAGCTATTTGGTTTGATTTTGGTAAATAGTTCTTTACCCACCACTAGTAACCTAAAAGTAGGCCTCATATTGTGGAAGAATGCAAGCAATTTGGTTTGATTTTGGTAAATAGTCCTTTACCCACCACTAGTAACCTAAGATACTTTTATGTGTTTGGACAACTGAAATTCACGTTTTAATGAGGAAATGAAATATAATAACAATTAAGCTACCAAGTCATATAAGTTATCATAAAACTACAGTAAAAGGGGCTCTTATTGAAGCTTCTAATAAGTAAAATTAAATTCTGGACTGAATGCACTATTTTCAAATAGAGTTTAAGATATATTCAATTAAAACCAAACTCAAAAGTCTATAATTTGAAATGGCTTATCAACAAATAAACCAATTTCCTTTCACAATGAATGCAAATCCGTCAGAACGTCCAATAGTCTGTACGTAAACAACTTAAGTTAATTAGAGTAACAAGTTTATTTTGCTAAATACTGTTTCAAAACGTAAATGTATAAGTTTGAAAAATATACTTGTTAAATAGCACGATGTCTGGCAACCATATATCTTCAGCTGGAACGTGTATCATCTCCACTCCTCCATATTCGGCTGGGTCCCATTGTAAGTTGTAGTCATGCCAAGTCTGAGATGAAAGGAAATACGAACAATTTAAATAAACTCAGGCTAATCACGCAATACAAAAAGCAGTTTCGGTACCGTCAGGCCTAGATTGAGCTGAAACTAAAGAAGAACAATTTAGTTTAAGTCACTTTAAATCTAAGTTGAAGCAAAATATCGAATAAATAGCTATACTCAGATTAACTTTGAGCTGAGTAAAACAGAACAATATATTTAAAGCCAGGCTAACTTTGAGCTAAAGCAGTACAAAAATCAGTTTATGTAAAGCCGGGCCAATACTGAGATTAAGCATAACAAGAAAAGTTTAATTAAAGTCAGAATAAGCCTGACTAACAATACAGTTGTACTCAGGTTACCTCTGAATTTGAGTGGCAAAAAAAAACAACAAACAAACAATATAGTTAATATGGGCTCAAGTCTTAAGTGAACTGAAACTTGAACGAGCTTATCATAGTTAAAACAAAATATAGCTTAAGAAAAAAGATAAAAAATAGCTATAATCAGTTCAAGACTGAGATGAAATTAAACATGAATAATCTAGTGAGAATCAGATCTGTCTAGTTTGTAGTAAAAGAAACCTGAACAACCGAATTATATGATAAACAAAACAATTAAAGGACAACTAAATTTATAGAATTTTAGCTAAGGCAAAAAACAATATTATAAACTAATGTAAGCATTTTTATACAAATCAAGCATCTGTTGATCTGTCATATGTTCTGAAATGCAAATGCCACATAGCATATGTTTCAGAACTCATTATTCAATTTCTGTAGTGCATATTGGTGTATAGAAGACATATTAATACAAGAAATAAGTGACCTTATAACACCAAAATGTTGTTTATATTTAATTAAACACTCAACGTTTCACTTTACAGTTTCTTCAGAAGTGTTCACTAAAACACAAATTGTAAACCGAAGCGTTAAGTGTCTAATTAAATATAAACAATAAATTGGTGTTATAAGGTCGTTTATTTCTAGTATTAACACATAGCATATACCCGGAAATGAACATTTGGTAGAGATGCTTTACACCTTGGAGTTCATGACATTTCAGCTCAACATGAACATATCATTGGTCCACTGGACATGATCTAGAAACTACTGTCAACTAGCTGTTTTCGTCTTGCTGTGATTGGAATGCTGCCCATTAAGTACCTGGCATGCGTGTCAGCCTTGTGAAGTTTATTTATATAGCTTTACACATGGGGAAGAGATCCAGTTGCGGCTGAGATTATAGGATTTGGTCTCGAAGCAGGTGTTCTATGATTCGGTAAGTCAGATCTAAGATATCATCTTTATTTTACAAGAAAGGTTTTGCATTGACACAGCTAAGTTAGTATAAAGTACAAGTGTCCTGTAATAGTTTATTATAGTATTATTGTGTGGACAAATATGAACAACTTTATTATAAGTAATGCCCAAATCAGATTTTATAAAATAACCATTGATAGATTAATACATCCAGTTTATATGTATGAGATAAACGAAAACACGAAGAAATTAATGGGATCAAACTACAATGTCAACGTAGCAACGAAAGATTTACAAACGAAATATCACCTTAATTTTACGTGTGAAATTTCACAGAGTTCACGGTAATAAACACTTGAAAGTGTTTAACACAAGTTGAGGTTTTAGAGAAACTCGATTCAATCAGTAACACACTTTTTTTAGTGTTTTAAACCGCAGAGTTTAAATTTCACAGAGTTCACGGTAATAAACACTTGTAAGTGTTTAACACAAGTTGAGGTTTTAGAGAAACTCGATTCAATCAGTAACACACTTTTTTTAGTGTGTTTTAAACCGCAGACAGTTTTTACTTTCATTGCATAAATGTTTCTGGAACTTTCTCTAAGAAGAGTCAGCTTGTAACACATTAGGGCTATAAACCAGAATCATGAGAAATAAAGTTGTCTACGGTGCAATCCAGTCGTACAATCCTTGTTAATTCCTCTCAAGAGGATCATATGAGGTAACGCATGACTACACGTGCTTTCTTTAGCGCCATGTTGGTTCTTAATTGCTTAGCCGCATGTGATACACCCTCTCTAAAAGCTATTTTTTGTGTATTTCAAGTTTAACCAATTCGCTATTTCTAAAATGTTTCAAATACGCTGTATATCTCACAGTTTTCATCTGATTATCCAATTATCTTCTTAGTGCTGTAGTCAAGTCCCTCAGAACTAATAATACACAGTTTAATAATGGTATGAAGATTGTCTTGATAGACGGGTTTAAAATGATTAACGTAAAACGATCTCAGAGATATAATTACGGCATAATCATATGTGATCCCTTGTTTTAAAGTGCCTAGTGCTATGTTACACTGTGTTGAAATAAATAATTATTAAAGAAGCGTAGATTTAGAAGAAAAAAGTGTTACATAAATACTATGCCTTGAAGTCAATTATCCACATCAAAATATGTGACTTGAATATATATCTCTAAGAAATATATAAAAAATAGCAATGTATACGTAGAACGCCCTTAAATTTTGATAGGATGCAAAGTATTAAATAATGATGGGATTTTTATGGTCTTCTCCTACCTCTTATTCTGGTTCAGAGATGACGTTTCAAGGTCCATGTGGAATGCCGAAGTTATCAGCAATGAGCCCCGAAATGGCGTCTCGCAACCAGGAAAAAGTCATAAAAACAATTGCAACATGCCATCTATACTACCTCAATTGATTTAAAAAAAAAGAAAGTAATAAATATTTCCACCAGTGCATTCAATGTTCAGAATAAAACTTTGAGGAAAATGTAATTAAACACGATCCGATTTTAGATCTATTATTACTTAGGTCTACCATATCTTGACATCATGTTTCATTTCGTTCAGGCCAAACAAAATTGGAAGCACTTGAAATGCATAACTCAACGAAATGTGGAATGCTTTATAACAATAACGTTAGATATGTAATACTGATTTAACGCTAGTGAAACAGTGCTTACAAAACACTTAATAATGCGAAATGATAAGCTAGAGCAAACATAAAAAATTCCGAAAAAATGTATTTTGGACTTCAAAAAAAAAAAAATATATATATATAAAGATTACCAAAACTGACATTACCCAAGTCGTGAGCAGTTAATTAATTGACTAACTGTTAATTCAATTAACCAGTGACAAAGCGGAATTTTTCACATACGGTCTTAACGAAAGATTCAAAATATCCACCAGTTAGTAAATCAGAGAACAAAGTTCATTCAAACATAAAACATCCACAAGTTAGTAAATCAGAGAATATAGTTCATTCAAACATAAATCATCCATCAGTTAGTAAATCAGAGAATAAAGTTCATTGAAACATAAAACATCCACCAGTTAGTAAATCAGAGAATAAAGTTCATTGAAACATAAAACATCCACCAGTTAGTAAATCAGAGAATATAGTTCATTCAAACATAAAAGATCCATCAGTTAGTAAATCAGAGAATAAAGTTCATTCAAACAAACATATTATTTTTATTGAAGTTGAATTGTGTCTTGTGTTATACTGTTTAAAACACCTAACTGTTTTGTATTTAACTTTACCATAATAAGTATATTCTGCCTTGAATTTATAAAGATGTATATAGGAATGTCCTTGTTGAAAAAAATGGATATTGAAGTATGAGTTGTTTTCGAAACTCTTGCGTTCAGTTCAGAAGATCGTGAAGTAGTTCTGGACGACAGGTGACAGTTAGAAATAGGATCGAAGTTGAGGGTGTATATGTTCGAAGTCTGCCTCCTGGGACATCACGAGCTATGTTATTTTATACCATAAAGGTAAAAAAAAAGAAAACTACTGACACTGGAGTTGAACTATAATAGCTCGATGACATCTATGAAAGTAACAAAGATATCTGATGTAACATATAATATTCGGTCATATTTAGAATAATAAAAAAGACCGTCAAGTTAATGTGGATGTTTATTTGTTTAATTTTGTGTTAAGCTATTAAAAACTATCTGAGCTAGCTGTCTCTAATTTTGAAGTGATAGACTAGAGAAAAAGCACTTAGTCAACACCACCCACCGCCAACTCTTGAGTAGTTAAATCGGAACAGTCCAGGATATATAAAAAAGTGATTAAACAATTAAAATAAAGCAATGCCTAGACTCCCTGAAAGATATTTTTGACCATAAGTTATTGTAAGATTTAGTTTAGTGATGTTTGTAATATAATATTCTATATTATATATTTTATGGATTTTATAATAATTCAAGAATTTCTACAATATCTGCTCTTAAGTAGCTTTTCCTGGATATATCATATCTACAAATCCAGTAATAGAATCTAGTAATGTTATGTTAAAACTCAACTTTGGTTAAAATACTAATTAGATACACGTACTTATTATGACATTTTTGGCTTATTAACGTTGTTCAATCAAAGTGATGCTAAAATGTAACTAACATTTATGGTCAAAATCGTAGTTATAGTTAATGTTAATACATATCCAAGAAACGTGGTGTGTTTCTCTTTGCAGTCTACAATTTAAAATACTCAATAGATTTTAGAATTCTGTAAAAATGCATTTTGGAAAATAACGGATTTCATTGTGGATGTAATTTATATGTAACTCCTGCATACAAGCAGTAAATACCATCAATAAGACAACAACATAATTACAAAATAATCATTACTAAGACAACAACATAAATACTTAAAATCATCATTGAGACAACAACAGAATTACATAACAATCATCACCAAGATAACAACATGAATACACAAAAAACACCAACAAGACAACAACATAAATACATAAAACCATCATCAAGACATTCTTACCCTGTTCCAATTTTAATATTATTAGATAAACTTATTTTAATTTTTTCAGCATCACATGTTAAAAATCTCTGTGTGATGTTTTGGATTTAGAAACAGAAAATTTTTATTACGGTACTTCTTGTTACCTCTAGATTCAATCTACAAAGCAGTTAAAGAAGAATTTGAGCTTGTAACATCTTAGCTACGAGATTAAAATGCCTCTGTTATAAAATTTATGAC